AAAGATAAATTAAAAGATGGGATGGTTTTTAAGGGTGTTTTTGATCACGGTCTGGGGGCGCAAGGCGTGTGTGCGGCGAGAAGGCCGGCGAGGAGGGAAGGTGGGCTCTCACCCGCTCGGCGTGCCGGCGCTGCGCCTCGCGGCGGCACCGGCACCGGCGGCAGAGGCGGGCTCGTCCTTGCCGCGGCCCTGCCTGCCCGGGGCCGGCGCGGCGCGGAGAGGGGCGGCGCGCGGCTCGACTCTCTGGTACACCTCCGAAGCGGAGGCGGCCGGCGGCGAGGCTGCGCCCGCGGGGTCAGAGGCGGCGGCCGGCGGGACGTCGCGGGTGGCGGCCGGCTTGCGGCCGCTCAGGCCGTCGCCCGCCGTCGATGCCACCGCCCGGCCTCTCGTGGCGGCGGAGGACGGGCGTGGCGGCGGGGCGGTGAGGGCAGTGGCGGGAGGCTGTGCCACCGACGAGGATTGAGGCGCGGCGGCTCGCGGCGCGGAGAGGGAGGGCTTGGTGGCGGCGGAGGTGGCGGGGGCGCCTCTCGAGGAGGTCGTCCGAGTCGACACCGGCCTCACGGCAGCCGCGGACCTACGTTGTGGACGCATCAGCGTCAGAGTGTCGAGCCAGGAGGGTGAGTGCTCAGAGCACCGCGTGAGGACATGGGCTGCCGGATACAGCGGAGTACAGCGAGTCTACAGGGGTGCGGCGTGCCGACATCTAGTGCCGCCGACCGCTCAGCAGCCTCCCGCGCTCCCAGCCGCGGCGAGCTCACAGACCTCGACGCGACCGCCGGCTTGCGCCGCGCCGCCAGCGTGGCCGCTGCCGGCGCAGCCGCCGCCGCCGCCGTACGCGCCGTTGAGCCCCGCGCCGCCGCCGGCCGCCCCCCTCCACTCCCGGTCCCAATCCCCGCCCCCGCCCCCGCCCCCGCCCCCGCCCCCGCCGCCTCCGCCGGCGGAGGTGCCACTGCCGGTGCGAGGGACGGGTCGATGTCGGACTCGCACACTGCCCGCCCGGCCAGCAGCGAGGCAGACGTCGGGCCGGGCCCGCCGCCGCGCGCGCCCAAGGCCCTCGCCGGCGCGCCGAGAGCGGCTCGCGCCCTCGGAGGCGCCTCTCCGTCGCGCGGTCGCGCGGCTGGCCTAATTACCCGAGATTACCCGAGATTACCCGAGAGTACGCCACCGTGCAGTGCATACAGCGGAGTAGGGGGGGGGGGGGGGCAGCTGAATGCGTGTCTCTTCGCGAGTGCTACTGGGGAGTACAGGGATCCGTAATCAGCATCTACGGTGGGGGCGGCCTCGGCCGCGCCGCCGCCTGCGCCGCCGCGCTGGCCGCCGCCTTGGCCACTCGACCCGCGCGCAGCTGCTCGCGCAGCTTCTCGGCCTCGTTTGCCGCCGCCTCCGCCCGTAGCTCCATCAGCGCGCGCGGCTGCCTGCCGTCTGGCCGAGCAGCGTCCGCCGCCAGCCGCGCCGCCTTCGCCTCCGCTCGCACGACCGCCAGCTCGTCGGCGTCCATCGCCGCCTCACGGGCCGCCTTCGCCTCCTCCGCCGCCCTCGCCTCCTCCGCCGCCTTCGCCTCCGCAGCCAGCCGCGCCTGCGCCTCCGCCTGCCTCTCCGCCGCCTCGGCCGCTTCCGCCGCCGCCGCCGCCGCCGCTTCTTCCGCCGCCCGGCGCTCCTCCTCAGCCTTCTCGGCCGCCTCCGCCTCGGCCCTGGCCTGCGCGTCCTTCTCCTCCTCCGCCTCTCGCGCGGCCTTGGCTGCGGCGACCCTCTCCTCAAAGGCGCGCTGCTCCGCCTCCTTCTCTGCCCGAGCCTTGGCCGCCCTCGCCGCCTCTGCCCTCGCTGCCTCTGCCGTGGCCGCCTCCTCAGCAGCCTCCGCCTCTGCAGCCTCCGCCGCTGCAGCCTCCCCCCACAAGTCCACGGGCGGGGGCGAGTGCGCAAAGCCGCTCGCCGCGTCGGGGAGGCGCACCTCGAAGGAGCCCGCCTCGGCCGACACGACGGGGAAGACGCCGCCCTCGCAGCGCAAGCCCGCGCCCGAGAAGAGCACGCCCGCGCCGCCGCCGCCCCACGCGCCGTTGCGGCCGACTGCGAACTGGCCGGTGGCGCGGTTGGCGGCGAGCCCGATGACGTCGCCTGCGAGAGGGGAGGGGAGGGAGAGTCGGGAGGGGCGAGAGGGGACATCTCGGCGCATCTCGCCGCGCGTCTCCTCACCCGCCGCCCACTCGAAGTCGTACTCCTCGTCCCCTCCGTGCCAGCGGGCGCAGCGCGTGCCGTCGATGCCCCACGAGTGCGAGCAGTCGCCTAGAAAGGAGAGGGCGCCACGGCTCAGACAGGGAGCTGTCAAGTGTCGGTGACACACGAGAGCGAGAGCAGTCGCCCACGCCGTCGCCGTCGTAATAGTCGCGCCCCGACTGCGCGAGGGCACGCGGCGTGAGCCAGGCAGGCGCAGGGTGGGGCTTAGGCGCGCACCGCACGGCCAAAGGAGGCGCAGGAGGAGCGGCGGCGGCGGCGGCGGGCGGGGGGGGAGGGGGGCGAGGCAGCGCGACACGGTCCGGACCGGACCCAGCCAGCGGCTCGTCTTGGCGCGTCGGCTCGGCTCGGCTCGTCTCAGCGCGTCTCGGCGCGTCTCGTCTGATCTCGGCGGATCTCGCCTCGAATCCGTCCGTCGCAAAGCCAACCTGCGGGTTCTCGAGGCCCTCGCCGACGACGAGCTCGTAGTAGAGCACACCTGGGGTGAGGGTGAGGGTGAGGGTGAGGGTGAGGGTGAGGGTGAGGGTGAGGGTGAGAGCACGCCTTGGGTCGCCGAGAGGAGGCGCGCGGTGGGAAAGGAGCTGCTTGCTGCTACTACCACGCTGGGCACCGCTACCGAGCCCCCTCAAGAGTCAAAGGAACGTATGTGTCTCTTCGTTTGGGGCGAGGGTGGGGGGTGGGGGGGCAGCCTCTGGCGGGGCGGCGGCTCTATCTCTGGTGCTCTCAGGCGCTCTTAGGCGCTCTCAGGCGAAGCGGCGCGCCGTCGCTCGCCGCGGCAGCGGCGTCCGGGGCGCCAAACGTGCAGAACTGGTGGAAGGAGAGGCGCCGCGCCTCGCCGGGCGACCAGGCGAGTGCTGCGCAGAGGCCTGTGGCGGAGGGGGAGGGGGAGGGCTGTGGGGTGGGTGTGTGGTGGAGGCCGGCGGCGTGGGTGTGAAGGTGGGGTGTTCTGGGGCGGCCAGGGGGTCGTGCAAGCGGCGCGGCGTGGCGAGCGGCGCCCGGTTCGCCGCGCAGCCGCTTGAGGACGAGGCCGCCCGCCTCGCGCTGCGCCCGTGCCGCCGCCTCCTCCGCCGCCACCGCCGCCGCCCTCTCCGCAGGGTCAACCTCGCCCTCCTCCGCGCCGCCCTCCTCCTCCTCCTCCTCCTCCTCCTCGTCGGCCGGCTCCGGCCCTGGCTCTGGCTCGTCGGCAGCGGCGGCCGGAGGGTCGGGCTCCGCCTTGTCCTTGCCCTTCCCGCCAGCCTCGACCTCTCCCGCAACCGCCTCCTCCCCAACCTCCTCCCCCACCTCCTCCTCTGCCACCCCACTTGCCCCCCCCGACGGCGCCTCCCCCGCCGCCGCAGCGTCCGCGCCATCTGCCGCCTCTCCGCCATCGTCCGACTCGGCGGCGGCGACGTCGAAACCGGAGCCGCCCGCAAAGGCCTGCAGCATCGCGATCGCCTTTGGCTCGCCGACCTTCTGCGCCGACTCGAGCGGCGTCCTCCCGCCCCTGTTGCACGCCGTCAGGTCGGCCCTCGCCTCGCACAAGTAGCCGATCACGCGCAGGGAGCCATACATCGCCGCGATGTGGAGCGGCGTGTTGGCGTGCTCGCCGGGCAGCAGCGGGTCGGCGCCCTTCTTGACGGCGGACTCGACGCCGCGCAGCGAGTTGCTCTCGATCGCCTTGAGGAGCGCACGCTGCACCTTCTCGTCCCGGGGAGGCGTCGCTTCGGCCGGCAGACCCACCGCGTCGGCCGGTTGCGCTTCTTCCGCCGCCGGCGCCTCCGCTTCCGCCTCCGCCGGCGGCACTTCAGCCGCGGGCGGGCCCTCCACGGCAGCCTCCTCTCCACCTGCCGCCGCCACCGACTGCGCCTCCGCCGACGCCCGCGCTCTCGCCGCCGACGCCTGCTTCTCTGCCGCCGCGGCAGCCACAGCCGCCGTCTTCGCCGTCTCCAAGGCCGCCGCCGCCGCCTCGGCCGCCGCCGCCGCGCTCTCCGCCGCCGCGTCCGCGCGCCGCGACTCCTCCTCCGCCGCCGCGAGCTCCGCGGCAGCCTTGGCCGCCGCCGCCTCGACCGCCGCCACCTTGGCCGGGTCAGGCCCGCCGCCGCCGCCGCCGCCCGAGCAGGCGCCGGTGTGGATCTTCATCTCGGTGCCGTCGTTGCGCACCTTGGTCTTGCACGCGTCGCAAGTGACCCACTTCTCGTTCTTGAACGTGAACGTAACCTCTCCGCCGCCGCCGCCGCTCGCGGCCGACGCCGCGGCCAGCTTCTCCTTGGCCTTGCTGGCGCCCTCGGCCGTCTTGGCGGCCTTGGCAAGCACCGCGCGCGCGTTCTCGGCCGCGCGCTGGGCCGTCTCCGCCGCCTTGGAAGCCTCCGTCGCGGCGGCCTCGAGCGAGGCGAGCTCCTGCGCCGACAACCCCCTCCCCGCCTCAACGGCCGGCGCTGACGCCTGGTCGTCGCCCGCCGCGTCGTCTACCGCAGCGGCCGCCTCTGCCGCCGCCTCTGCCGCCGCCTCTGCCGCCGCAGCCTTGGCTGCTGCCGCCTCGGACGCCGCAGCCTCCGCCGCTGCCGCTTCGGCCTTTGCTGCCTCCGCCCTTGAAGCCTCGGCCTCTGCCGCTGCCGCCTCCTCTGCCGCTGCTGCTTCCGCTGCCTTGGCCTTTGCGGCAGCGGCTTCGGCCGCTGCTGCCTCTTCCGCTGCTGCCTCTGCCGCTGCTGCCTCTGCGGCGGCTGCCTCTGCGGCGGCTGCCTCTGCGGCGGCTGCCTCTGCGGCGGCTGCCTCCGCTGCCGCCGTCTCTGCTGCCGCCGTCTCTGCTGCCGCCGCCTCCTCCTTCGCCCGATCCGCCGCCGCCGCCGCCTCGGCTGCCGCGGCCTCCTTTTCCGCAGCAGCGGCAGCCTCCTTCTCTTCCGCTGCAGCCTGAGCGTCCTTCTCCGCTTGCGCCGCCGCCTCGGCCGCCGCCGCCGCGCTCTCCGCCGCCGCGTCCGCGCGCCGCGACTCCTCCTCCGCCGCCGCGAGCTCCGCGGCAGCCTTGGCCGCCGCCGCCTCGACCGCCGCCACCTTGGCCGGGTCAGGCCCGCCGCCGCCGCCGCCGCCCGAGCAGGCGCCGGTGTGGATCTTCATCTCGGTGCCGTCGTTGCGCACCTTGGTCTTGCACGCGTCGCAAGTGACCCACTTCTCGTTCTTGAACGTGAACGTAACCTCTCCGCCGCCGCCGCCGCTCGCGGCCGACGCCGCGGCCAGCTTCTCCTTGGCCTTGCTGGCCCCCTCGGCCGTCTTGGCGGCCTTGGCAAGCACCGCGCGCGCGTTCTCGGCCGCGCGCTGGGCCGTCTCCGCTGATTTGGCGAGCTCGCTCGCGGGTTGAGGAGCCATAGTTGTGCCGCCGTCAGCGACTTCTGGCAAAGTAGGCACAATGTGTTGGAGAGTGTGAACAGGGCTCGCACCTCAACCTCTCACAGGCCAGCGCACAGCGCCATCGGAGGTATTTTCTTCTCAATAACAAGGCTGTGAACTCAAACCTAGTCTTCTGATAAACGCAGTATGGAAGATACAAAGAGACGGAGGAGGCCGAAGACACTCCCTCCGTAGACACTGATCACACACGGGTGGGACAGGGTGGGTCACAACAACGAGGCACGAGAGCGTGCACGACAGAGCGACGGCGCAGCGTACTGCCGTCCAGCTAAAAAGCGGCGGCCGACGGTTGCTGCGCAAAGTGATCAGTTCTAAAATAGGTGCCGGGGCCCAACGGATAGATGAATCCGGGGCACCCTCCGCTCGAATCCCTGGCCGGGGGTTCGAGGTGGCCCCCACCCTGGGGCCTCCCATCAAAGGGACTGCGGCAGAAGACGCCCAATCTTGCACAAGTGCAAGAACCATACGTCTTCTGATAAACGCAGTATGGAAGATACAAAGAGACGGAGGAGGCCGAAGACACTCCCTCCGTAGACACTGATCACACAAGGGTGGGACAGGGTGGGTCACAACAACGAGGCACGAGAGCGTGCACGACAGAGCGACGGCGCAGCGTACTGCCGTCCAGCTAAAAAGCGGCGGCCGACGGTTGCTGCGCAAAGTGATCAGTTCTAAAATAGGTGCCGGGGCCCAACGGATAGATGAATCCGGGGCACCCTCCGCTCGAATCCCTGGCCGGGGGTTCGAGGTGGCCCCCACCCTGGGGCCTCCCATCAAAGGGACTGCGGCAGAAGACGCCCAATCTTGCACAAGTGCAAGAACCATACGTCTTCTGATAAACGCAGTATGGAAGATACAAAGAGACGGAGGAGGCCGAAGACACTCCCTCCGTAGACACTGATCACACAAGGGTGGGACAGGGTGGGTCACAACAACGAGGCACGAGAGCGTGCACGACAGAGCGACGGCGCAGCGTACTGCCGTCCAGCTAAAAAGCGGCGGCCGACGGTTGCTGCGCAAAGTGATCAGTTCTAAAATAGGTGCCGGGGCCCAACGGATAGATGAATCCGGGGCACCCTCCGCTCGAATCCCTGGCCGGGGGTTCGAGGTGGCCCCCACCCTGGGGCCTCCCATCAAAGGGACTGCGGCAGAAGACGCCCAATCTTGCACAAGTGCAAGAACCATACGTCTTCTGATAAACGCAGTATGGAAGATACAAAGAGACGGAGGAGGCCGAAGACACTCCCTCCGTAGACACTGATCACACAAGGGTGGGACAGGGTGGGTCACAACAACGAGGCACGAGAGCGTGCACGACAGAGCGACGGCGCAGCGTACTGCCGTCCAGCTAAAAAGCGGCGGCCGACGGTTGCTGCGCAAAGTGATCAGTTCTAAAATAGGTGCCGGGGCCCAACGGATAGATGAATCCGGGGCACCCTCCGCTCGAATCCCTGGCCGGGGGTTCGAGGTGGCCCCCACCCTGGGGCCTCCCATCAAAGGGACTGCGGCAGAAGACGCCCAATCTTGCACAAGTGCAAGAACCATACGTCTTCTGATAAACGCAGTATGGAAGATACAAAGAGACGGAGGAGCAACGAGCGCCTTGGCGTGAGCCGAAGACACTCCCAACTGCGCTCCGTCACCGGTGTCGCGGTCTCCCCCACTGAGGACGATCTGCGGGGGGGGAGTCGCGCCGCCGGCATGTATCTGTGCAACTGTGTTTTTGCCTTGTCCCGTTTGATGGAGCAAAGCCACAGCGGGCTCGGGCTCACTGAACGGGAGAAGCGCACTGATGGCGACCCACTGCGGAATCTGGACCCACGACGGTTGCATCCCTGGAGGAGGAGGGGGCAGATTGAGGAAGGCCGGATTGCCCACCACAGACCACGGAATGAAGCGCAGGGTAGAGCCTACCACTGTTGAGTCGACGGGTATCACCAGTGGCTTTGCGGGATCGGGGTGCTGCTCGGCAGGAATACTGAGCTCGGCGGCAGCGAGGTCTGGCATCGCAGCGCCGGTCGTCTCGTCGAGGACTACCTCTCGACTCTACTCCCGTGTCACAACAACGAGGCACGAGAGCGTGCACGCCAGAGCGACGGCGCAGCGTACTGCCGTCCAGCTAAAAAGCGGCGGCCGACGGTTGCTGCGCAAAGTGATCAGTTCTAAAATAGGTGCCGGGGCCCAACGGATAGATGAATCCGGGGCACCCTCCGCTCGAATCCCTGGCCGGGGGTTCGAGGTGGCCCCCACCCTGGGGCCTCCCATCAAAGGGACTGCGGCAGAAGACGCCCAATCTTGCACAAGTGCAAGAACCATACCTTCCTGACCGTAGCCTGACCGTCCTTGTGTAACCGTGTCTCATGTTTGGTTTGTCCTGCCGCGCACATTGTCATGCTGGTGGGTTTCTCCTGCCGCGCACATTGTCATCGACTTGTATCCGACTTGGTGGTTGTGGTGATGTAGCGATGGTGTGGGTCTCTAGTGACCTATACAGCTCCTCCGTGTTCCGTCTCCTGACACAATGACGCTGAGCCGACTTTGAAAGAATGAGAGGTTGCGCAGCAGCGAAAGAAAACGCCTTCACGCTAAAAGAAATACAGTGTGATTACGAAAGACAGCGCCCTCAACAGCCGAGATGGTCGCACCTGTGGAAGCGCCGCTGCTCGGCCAGCGCGTCGTGCTAGGCGGGCTCTCGTCACGCCCCGAGCTGAACGGGCGCCTGGGTGAGGCGCGGAGCTTCGAGGGCGGGCGGTACGCGGTGGCGCTCGAGGGCGGCAGCGAGAGCGTGCGGGTGCAGCCGGACCAACTGTCGAGGGCGGCCGTGCAGGCCCCGAGTGTCATGGCGACCGACGAGATCGTGACAGCGGTTGAGCGAGGCGACGAGGCGGTGGTGCTGGCGTGGATCGAGGTCGGCGGGTGGGTCAACGCGACGTACGAGATCGGCAAGGCGAGTGGTATCACGCTGCTGATGTTCGCCGCCCGCAATGGCCACGAGCGGGTGGTCAAGTTGCTGCTGCGGCACGGCGCTGATATCAACCTGCAGCACAGCGTCGGCTGCACCGCGCTGATGAACGCCGCCTTCAACGGCCACGAGCGGGTGGTCGAGCTGCTGATGCGGCACGGCGCTCATGTCAACCTGCAGGACAGCGACGGCGTCACCGCGCTGATGGACGCCGCCGGTAAAGGCCACGAGCGGGTGGTCGAGCTGCTGCTGCAGCGCGGCGCAGAGGTCAACCTGCAGGACAGCAAATGCTACACCGCGCTGATGTACGCCGCCCGGGAAGGCCACGAGCGGGTGGTCGACTTGCTGCTGCGGCACGGCGCAGAGGTCAACTTGCAGGCCAGCGAGGGCCTCACCGCGCTGATGTTCGCTGCTTTCCACAACCACCCCGCCGTCGTGCGGCGCTTGCTGCGGGCGGGCGCAGACGCGGCGGCGCGCAGTGTGTGCGGCAGCACGGCGCTGCAGTGGGCCAAGGAGAAGGGCCACGCCGAGTGCGTCAAGGTCTTGTCGGAGGCGGCGGCGGCTGCAGACGGCCGGGCAGGGGCGGACGGCGCTTCCTCGGGCGCGGCAGCGGGAGCGGTGGTGGACGCGCCGCTGCTCGGCCAGCGAGTCGAGCTCGGCGGCCTCTCTTCCCGCCCCGACCTCAACGGGCGGCGGGGCGTGGCGCGGAGCTTCGAGGGCGGGCGGTACGCGGTGGCGCTCGAGGGAGGCGGCGAGAGCGTGCGGGTGCGGCCGGGTAATCTGTCGCCGGCGGCGGCGGAGCGGGCGTCGAGCGGTGGCATGCCAGTCTCCGATGCGGTCGTGGCAGCCGCTGAGCGAGGCGAGGAGGAGGCGGTGCTGGCGTGGCTTGAGGGCGGCGGGCGGGCCGACGCGACGTACGAGAGAGGCGAGGTGAGCGGCCTCTCGCTGCTGATGAGCGCCGCCGACAACGGCCACGAGCGGGTGGTCGAGTTGCTGCTGAAGCACGGCGCGGAGATCAACCTGCAGGACAGCAACGGCTGGACCGCGCTGATGCGCGCCGCCGACAAAGGCCACGAGCGGGTGGTCGAGCTGCTGCTGCAGCACGGCGCGGACATCGACCTGCAGAGCAGCACCGGCTTCACCGCGCTGATGTACGCCGCCTACCATGGCCACGAGCGGGTGGTCGATTATCTGCTGCTACACGGCGCGGAGACCAACATCCAGAGCCACGACGGCTTCACCGCGCTGATGGCCGCTGCCAACCAAGGGCGCGAGCAGGTGGTCGACTTGCTGATCCGGCGGCGCAGAGATCAACCTGCAGAACAGCAACGGCGGCACCGCGCTGATGGGCGCCGCTTTCGAAAACCACGCTGCCGTGGTGCTCCGCCTGCTACGTGCGGGCGCGGATACGAAGCTGCGCTCTATGCACGGTAAGTCCGCGCTGCAGTGGGCCAAGGAGAAGGGCCACGCCGAGTGTGTCGAGGCCTTCCGGCAGCACATCGCGGAGGTGACTGCAGGCCAGCGCGAGGCGGCGGCGGTCGGCGCGGGCGGCGCTTGCTCGGGCGCGGCAGCGGCAGCTGAAGACGCACCGCTGCTCGGCCAGCGCGTCATGCTAGGCGGGCTCTCGGCACGCCCCGACCTCAACGGGCGGCGGGGCGTGGCGCGGAGCTTCGAGGGCGGGCGGTACGCGGTGGCGCTCGAGGGAGGCGGCGAGAGCGTGCGGGTGCGGCCGGGCAATCTGTCGCCGGCGGCGGCGGAGCGGGCGTCGAGCGGTGGCGTGCCAGTCCCCGATGAGGTCATCGCAGCGGCTGGGCGAGGCGAGGAGGCGGCGGTGCTGGCGTGGCTCGACAGTGGCGGGCGGGCCGACGCGACGTACGAGAGAGGCGGCGTGAGCGGCGTCACGCTGCTGATGGTCGCCGCCGTCAACAGCCACTTAGGTGTGGTCGAGCTGTTGCTGCGGCACGGCGCGGACATCAACCAGCAGGACAGCAACGGCGGCACCGCGCTGATGGGCGCCGCCGTGTGCGGCCACGAGCGGATGGTCGATCTGCTGCTGCAGCGCGGAGCTGAGATCAATCTGCAGGCTAGCAACGGCTACACCGCGCTGATGGCCGCCGCCAACAACAGCCGCGAGCAGGTGGTCGACTTGCTGATCCGGCGCGGCGCTGAAGTCAACCTTCAGGACAGCGACGGCGACACCGCGCTGATGGCCGCCGCCTACCACGGCCACGGGCAGGTGGTCGAGCTGCTGCTGCGGCACGGGGCGGAGATCAACCTGCAGAGCAGCAACGGCGGCACTGCGCTGATGTGCGCCGCCAACCAAGGCCACGAGCGGGTGGTCGACGTGCTGGTACGGCGTGGCGCTGAGATCAACTTGCAGGACCGCACCAGCGGCACCGCGCTGATTAACGCCGCCCTCTTCAACCGCCCCGCCGCCGTGCGGCGCTTGCTGCGAGCGGGCGCAGACGCGGCGTCTACTTTTGACGGCATGACGGCGCTGCAGCTGGCCAAGGAGCAGGGCAACGCCGAGTGCGTGCGCGCCCTCGAGGAGCACTCGTCGACCGCAGCAGCGACGTCGGCGGTCGCAGAATCAGCCGAACAGGCCGCGGCGGCCGCACGCGAGGCAGCAGCGGCAGCGGAGGCGGCGGAGGCGCGCGATGCTGCCGAGGCGGCGCTGCGCGAGGCGGTTGAGGCGTGCGGCAGAGGCGACGCCGATCTCGAAGCGCTCAGGGCGGCGATCAACAAGAATGTCCAGGCCGCCGACGGCTCGGAGGCGTTGCGGGCGGCGCGGCAGCTGCGCGACGAGCTGGCGGAGCGAAAGGCCCGCGAGGCCAGGGCGCTGAAGCGGCAGCGGCAGAAGGAGGAGAAGGCGGCGGCGGCGGCAGCGCGGGCGGCGGAGCGGGCGGCGGAGCAGGCGGAGGAGGCACGGGCCGCAGAGGAGGCGCGAGTGGCGGAGGAAGCGGATCGGGTGGTAGCAGAGGCTGCGGCGGCGCGGGCGGCGGAGGAGGCGGAGGCGGCGTCGCGGGGGGCGGCGGAGGAGGCGGAGGCGGCGTCGCGGGCAAGGGAGGGGGCAGAGGTGAGGGCAAGGGAGGAGGCGGCAAGGGAGAGGGAAGAAGCGAGGGAGAGGGCGGCAGCGGAGGTTGCGGCGGAGGTTGCGGCGGCGGCGGAGGCGGCGGCTGTAGAGGCGGCAGTGGCGGCAGTGGCGGCGGCGGAGGCTCAAGAGGCGGCGGCAGCGGAGGCGGCGGCGGTGGCAGCGGAGGCGGCGTCGGCGGCGGCGGAGGCGGCGGAGGTGGCGGCGAGTGTCGCCGCTCTCGCCGCCGCCGCCGCGCCGCCCGCCGCCGTCCCTCTCGACGAGCTCATTACGGCGACCGACGGCTTTTCCGAGGCGCGCAAGGTGGGCGAGGGCGGCTTCGGGCGCGTCTACCGCTGCGACGCGCTGCCGTCGCTCCCGCGCGTCGCTTGCGGGTTCGCCGTCAAGACGGCGCTGGTCGGTGTCGGCGCCCAAGGCCTCGCCGAGCTGCAGAGCGAGGTGCGCACGCTCAGCGCGGCAGCCCACCCGTCCCTGCTCCCTCTGCTCGGCGTGTGCTTGGCGCCCGAGCGCGCGTGCCTCGTCTACCCCCTCTGCCGCGACGGCAGCCTCGAAGATCGCCTCTACCGCGCTCCAGCCGCGCTGCAGCGGCTCCGCATGCTCGGCTTCGAGACAGCGCCTCCTCCGCTCTCCTCCGCCGCACGGCTCCGCGTGCTGCGCGACGCCGCGAGCGCGCTGCATTACCTGCACACGCTCTCTCCCATGATCCTGCACCGCGACGTCTCGGCGGGCAACATCCTGCTCGACGAGCGCGGCAACGGCTACCTCGCCGACGTGGGCCTCGCGCGCGCGGCAGAGGCGACGGCCGGCGGCAATGGACAGGTCTCGCACTTGTCGACACAGCGTATCTTTGGCAAGCCCGGCTACATGGACCCAATCATCACGCAGGACAACCAGGCTTCGCAACTGACCGACGGCTATGCGCTCGGCATCACGCTGCTCGTCAGCCTGACCGGCCGCGGCGCCGTCGGCTTGCTCAACGCGTGCGACTATGCGCTGGAGGAGCCCGACACGGCGGAGAGCATTGCGGCGGCCGACGCGGGCTGGTCGGCGGCGCAGGCTGAGGAGCTGGCGCGGCTCGTGGTCGGGCTGGCGTACGAGCGGAAGCGAAAGCGGATGCCGCTCGCAGAGGCGCTGCCGCGGCTGGAGGCGCTGGTCGAAGCGGCGGGGGAGGTGGAGGAGACGGCGGCAGCCGAGGAGCGCCAGTGCGACCTCTGCTGGAACGCGCCGCGCTCGGTCCGCTTTGCGTGCGGCCACGCGCTGTACTGCGAGACGTGTGTGCCGCGCGTGCTGGAGCGCGACACCAACTGCCCGACTTGCCGCCAGCCGGCGCTGCCCATCGTCGCAATTGGGACACAGGTGGCGGCGCAGACGACGTTTGTCTACCAGCCGCCCTCGCGCCCCGCGCCCCAGGCTCAGCCCGTGGGCGTCACGGCAGCGGTCGGTAGGCGAGGGGGGAGAGGGGGGCGTGGACGTGGCGGGCGGGGCGGGCGGGGCGCGGGGCGCGGCGGCTCTGCTTAGTTCTGGAGCACCGGCGCCACACATGATATGGGTCAGCGCGAGAGGACAGTCGACAGGGAGGTGCAGTGCTGAGTGTGTGTACTGACGTATTTGAAACGTGTGGAAATCTATCGTTGCATGTTGGGCGCAAGCACGGCTCGTTCCGTACGTCAGAATTGTCTTGAGACTTGACTCTTGTACCGTGGCCGCGTACGGCTCTACGGCTTTACGGAGCTCACCACGTCGCACGTCTGGAGACCTCTCATCGTCTACATAGCATTTGGCCTCTTATATACTACGACGCCGACCCCCGCGCCACCTCGTCCAGAAACTCGATGGCGAGGTGCTGCGACGTCGCCGCCCCTCCGTTTCGCACGCCGTGCGACGTGTTTGCGGGCAGGAACGCGAGGCCGCCGCGCGCGACGGTCGTCGCCCCCCCGGGGTGCACCACCTCGACCGCCCCCTCGAGCACGAGCAGCAGGACGTCGTGGTCGCCGTCGCGGTGCACGGGCCTCGAGGCGCCGGCCGCGAGGGTCGTGCGGTGGATGTGCGGCCGCCGCAGGAGCAGCTGCTTGCTGTGCAGCAAGCCGCCCGCCACGCCCGCGCCACCGGACACGAACGTCGGCCACGCCCTGGCGGGCGACAGCCCGGCCGGCGCGCTCGCGCTGTGCGCGCGCATCTGCCCCTCGGTGCGCCGGGTGGTGTAGCGGATGCAGAGGTAGTCGACGTGAGGCCCGGCGGCGGATTCTCGGCCGGCGCCGCCTTGCTTGAGGCGCCGCCTCGGCCCGCGAGATCCGGCGGGAGCCACAGCCATCGTGTGTGCCGATCGGAAGGGGAAGTACACGAAGCTGCCGCGCCGAGAGAGCGTCGTCTCGGTCCGCCCCTCCGCCGAGATGGAGGTGGATGTGCCGCCATTCGCGTGGAGGCTCGCCGAGCCGTTGGTGTAGAACGTTGCGCTCCCGTTCAGGACTACGATGACCTCCTCGTCGTCGTGCAGGTGCGGACTGTTTGTGCGGCGCCGGCCCTTGCGCGGCAACCGCGAGTAGTGCACCTCTAGGTGAGCGAGCACGGGGGACGAGCAGTGGTCAATGGCGACCTGCGTCGTGAGGGCGTGGCCCGTTTTCGGCGGCCGAGGAAACTGGACGCAGCGCTTCTGCGACTCGTCCTTGATGAAGGCGAGAAACTTCGTCCGCGAGGCGAGCGAGCCGTCGTCGAGGTAGGCGAGAGAGCTCGCGATGGCGACCTCGAGCAGAGTCATGGATGCCGTGCTGGGCGCCGTTCACAGCCTTGTTATACATCGTTCACAGCGCTCAGGTTTCTCTCTTTCTCCTGTAGGCGGCTCCGGTGGTGTGCCGGTGTGTGTGCTAGTCTGCGCCAGTCCGCGCCCTTGTTGTGCCAGCGTGCTGTGCGAGAGGCTTGCGTGTTAAGTAGAATTCTTTCTCTCCAATCGGCGCGAGTGAGCTGACGTCTTTTCAGTGTATGTAGCTCTTACGTACATTCGCCCTTAGGGGCCTAGAGAACACAACCCCCTCTCTCTTTTCTCCCAGTAAGCTAAAAGTACGTACATTCCCGTTTTCTGGCTCTTTATACAGACATCGATGGTGAGTGGGTGACTGCGGACAGCGCGGATAGGATTTGGCAAGCGTTCCTCGGGGTCGTACTCGCCATCCTCCTCCTCTGGGGCGGCCGGGTCCCCATTTGTTCAAGACACAGAGCTCACACAAATTCACAGTGGGAGGAAAGCGGCTCGTGTTTTCATCTCTCCAATTGAGCTGACCCGTCTCTGTGTGGCTCTTTACTGGAAGAGCCGAGGGTGAGTGGGTGACTGCGGACAGGGAGACTTCTTTCTGATTTTGTTCTTCACAACCGGACTGATGAGGCTGTTCACGAACGGAACCACGCCGAATATTCGCGGTTTGGGCGTTGCGCCGCCTGCCAGGACAAAAGAAGAACATAAGAAGAACTATTAACAACGAAGGCGCTCTCAAAAAGAAGAAAACGCGGCCGCATGGAGGCCTCCCGCAAGCGCGCCCGCACCGGCGGCGAGGAGGGCGAGCCCGTGGCGGTCGCTGCCGGCTTCGAGGCGCCCATCTTTGGCGCGCGCGCCGTCGGCCAGGTCACTACGCTCGCGCTCGAGGGCGAGGACGGACCTCTGGCGTCCCTCAACCTGCGCGGCGTCGCAAGCGATCACGCGGGCGCCTGGTACGTCGCGACTTTGGTCTCGGTGCTGCACGTCTCGGCGGCCGAGCGCGTGCGCACCGTGGCGACCTGCGAAGGCGGCGGGTTCTCCGGCGTCGCCCTCAGCCCGGACGGGAGCGCGCTGTTTGTGGCGGATGCCGGCAACAACAAGATCCGTCGGGTGGAGGTGGCGACGGGTACTGTGACGGCGACTGCGGGTAGCGGCGAAGGAGGCGACGCGGATGGCGTGGGCGGCGCGGCAGAGTTCCACTGCCCATGGGGCGTCACTGTCAGCCCGGATGGCAGCGCGCTGTTTGTGGCGGACTGCGACAACAACAAGATCCGTCGGGTGGAGGTGGCGACAGGCGCGGTGACTACGCTCGCGGGTAGCGGCGAGGAAGGCGATGAAGATGGCGTGGGCGGCGTGGCGCATTTCAACGGCCCAGCCGGCCTCGCCCTCAGCCTGGACGGGAGCGCGCTGTTTGTGGCGGACTTCTTTAGCCACAAGATCCGTCGGGTGGAGGTGGCGACTGGCGCGGTGACTACGCTCGCGGGTAGCGGCGAAGAGGGCAGCGCTGATGGCGTGGGCGGCGCGGCGCAGTTCCGCTTCCCACACGGCGTCACGATCAGTCCAGACGGGAGCGCGCTGTTTGTGGCGGACAACGGCAACCACAAGATCCGGCGGGTGTGGGTGGCGACGGGCGCGGTGACTACGCTCGCGGGTAGCGGCGCCAGGGGCAGCGCTGATGGCGTGGGCGGCGCGGCGCAGTTCGAATACCCAGTGGCCCTCGCCATCAGCGCCGACAGCACAACGCTTTTGGCCCGCATGGAGGGCTCGGCTCTCCGCCAGGTCTGCGTGGCGGCGCCTCCTCCGCCTCCCTCCTTCGCGCCGCTCGTGGTTCCGCCCTCCACCTTCTCCGCCGACATGGGCAAGATGTGGGGCGACGCTACTCTGCCCCAGGGTATGGTCACCTTCCTGGTCGGCGACAACGAGGAGCGCGTCGAGCACGTGAGCAAGTGCGCCCTCTGCGTGCGGTCCGTGTTCTTTCGGACCATGTTTGGCATCGGCATGAAGGAGCGCGACGCCGCCGAGGTCACGGTGCTCGAAACGGACCTCGCCAGCTTCACCGCCCTCGTCCGCTACCTCCTCACCGACCAGCTCGACCTCGGCGAGGGGGAGGGCGAGCAGGCGCGGCGCGCGCTCGTGCTGCGGCAGCTGGCGCAAAAGTACCAGGTGCCGCGCCTCGAGCTGCTCTGCGCGCAGGCGCTGCAGGAGAGCGTCGGGCCGGCGAGCGCCGTGCCGCTGCTCGAGGCGGCGCAAACAACTGGCGACGGGCGGCTCCTCGCGCAGTGCCGCCGCTTCGTGGCCGACCACGCCGCCGAGGTGCGGGCGAGCGGCGGCGTGGAGCAGCTTCGCGACCTCGGCGTGGCCAAGGGGCTGCTCGGCGACGCGCTCGACCAGGTGGCGGAGCTCAAGGGGGCGCTCCGCAGCCACTCGCGCTCGTAGTGCGGAGCGCGCGGCATTGTACAGTATCGCGAGTGCACAATCTGGCTTCGGTGTGAGTGTGCTCCATTCTGACTCCATTGATTGCGCCGGAGGCAGCCCACACTAGCGGCAGAGCGCTCTCCAAGTCTCCTCCACGCGCGGCCAGCACTGCCACTGGCTGACTCATGTCGAGATGTGTCCTTTTTCTTTCGTAATGATACCCATGCAAAACCAAGCCGAGCAACCCCAAATCTCTTGGGGAAAAGAAAGAAAGAAAGAAAACGTACAACCCAAGGGAGGGATGGGAGGACGGCACGCCTCCCATCCCTCCCTCTTGGGGACCGGAGCGCACAATTGAATTCTTTTGGCGCGCAATCCACGGTCTCTCATCGGCGCATCGCTGCCCTGCACCTTTGTCCCGGTGCCACATCCTGCCTGCCTGCTTCTGCCGTCGCCCGCAAGGATTTGACGTTACGATGATCGCCGCCGCGCTCGCCTCCTCCTCCTCCACGAGCCTCCTCACCACGCCGCTGCCGAGCTCTGCTCCGGCAAAGCCAACCGCCACCGCCGCCGCCGAGTCGTCCTCCGCCGCCACCGCCGCCAAGACGGTGCACCTCAAGATCTCCGGCAAGTGGTACGACGCCACCGAGTGGGCGGACCGGCACCCGGGAGGCCGCTACGTGCTGGAGTGGGCCGACGGCTTCGATGTGACAAACGCCTTTCACACGATCCACCTCTTCTCCTCGCGCAAGGCCTCGGACATCCTCGCCCGCCTGCCCGAGGCGGACCTCACCCTCCGCGCGGCCCGCGAGCCGGTGCTGCCGCCCATCGAGCGGGTGCCGATGGCGTCCCAGCGGCCGACCGGCATGGACAGGTTCATGGGCGCGGGCGAGCGAGTGGTGGAGCTCCTGTCTCCGCCCGCGGATGCGACGCCGGAGCCGGTGCCGGTCGCTCCCGCCTCTGGGCTGGCGTGGCAGCAGCGGCAGGAGGGCGCCGTGGGCGCTGTGGGCGAGACGCCGCTCAAGCGCGACCTCGAGGCGCTGCTCCGCCGCCACTTTCGCTCCTCGGCAGAGTACAAGGCGACGCCCGAGCACTGGGCGCGGATCGCGGCCGCCTTTGCCGTCTGGGCGGGCTGCCTTGCCGGGTGGGTGGCGGGGTCGCTGCCCGCGACGCTGGCGCTCCCGTTTGCGCAGTGGCTGCTCTTCTCGCCCACCGTGCACGAGGCGTCCCACTCGACGCTGAGCACGGCGCCGTGGGTCAACAAGGCGGCCGCCTTTTGCGGGTGCCGCAAGACAACCTCTCACGCACGCACACGCACCACGCACACAGCACGCACACAACACGCGCACACACACACACGCACCACGCACACAGCACGCCCTCGACACGGCGCGCGGCTGGCGCTAGGCTGCCCTTTGTGTACAACCCGTACATCTGGTGGCCGCAGCACCTCCTCTCGCACCACCAGTACACGAACGACGACGCGCTCGACGTCGACCTGCACCACCTCCGCCCGGCGCGGCTCCACCCGGGCTGCGAGGTGGACGAGGGGTACGGCGGCGCAAACTTCATCTTCAAGGGCTACGCGGGCCCGCCTAGATGCACTGCCCAAGACTCAGTCTCCTCTTGCCCCGTTCTCCTTCTCTACGCCCCCTCCATTTGCTGTGCACTCCCTCCGCGACCTCCCCTCGCCTCCCCGACAGTTCTCGACGATGGGCATGTCGGTGCTGTGGCCGGTGCGCGTGCTGCAGCAAAAGTCGACGGGACGCTGGCGCCGCAGCCTTAACGCGGGAGTATTCGATGCCCTGCATTCGAGCCAGACGACGCGCGATGGGCTGCACCCAGACCAAGCCGCCGACCACCGTAGTGTTCGCAGAAGCTCGACGCACGAGACGCCGTGCGCACTGCTAGGTACCGCAACCTCGTCACGCCAAAGCCCGACGCGGTGAGCGACGCGGAGCTGGCGCTCTCGCTGCTGCCGGTGGGCTTCGTGCTGCTCTGGCCGTGGCTGCGGATGCTCGCCGGCGCGATCACGCACACCCTCGGGTAGAGAGGCGGGTAGAGGGAGCGGGTCCTCCCCTGCCGGTGGTGTAGTGGTGGCCGGTAGTGCAGGGACCTTGGGCGGTGTGGCGACTCGCTAGGCGAGATCAACGCCCTCGAGGCCTTTTTCGATTGGCGCAGCCGCCCCCTTGGTGTGGGAGAGCGCGGCCGAGGGACGCGTCCCACGCCACGTGACACGTGCCCGCCGTAGGTACTACCCCTGGGCGGTGACGGGCGCCATCTGGACGGTGATGACGCAGGTGTCGCACGTGCAGGAGGACTGCCAGCGGCCGCCGAGTGGCGACGAGCAGGACGACTACTTTCGGTGGCAAATCGAGTCGGCGCTCGACTACTCGGTCGGCAGCGAGCTGGTGCCGAAGCTGACGGCCTCGCTCTCGCTGCAGTCGATGCGCCCCTCGCGAGGCTGTCGGCGTGCGGGTGGTGCCCGGGCCCCCTTTTCCCGACTCTCGGAGCCTATCCGTAGGCACCACGTGATGCCCTCGGTGTGCGGCTGCCACTTCTCCGCTCTCTACCCCGAGTACCGGGCCATCTGCGAGGCGCACGGCGTCCGGCTCAACACGCGCAAGGACGTGTCCGCCGCCTGGCGCTCCTGCATCGCGCGCGTCTTTGAGCTCTCCTCGCCGGAGCGGACGCCGGCGTGGGCTCTGCGCGAGCCCGCGGCCCAGAGCGGCCCGCTCGCGGCGGTCGAGGAGCACCTGCCGCTCATCGCCTGCCTGGCGACGCCGGGAGTCGTCATGCTCGCTTGCACTCCGCTGTTTTGAGATGGAGTGTGGGTTTGAGCACCGTGTTCTCTGCTGCGGCTGCACGAGGGGGCTGGCCCCAGGCTGGTCTGCGCGTGGAGGTTGCGTGTGTGCGCGCGCGCTCAGAGGTACGATCCCGTTGTTGTGTTAGTCGAGTAGCGAGAGTCTGTTGTCTTTGAGTGCTGAGAGTGTGTTTTCTGTCTACTCTTTTTGCGCGCGTGTAGCTCGACTTGTACACATCATGTACCGCACAGTGGGAGAGAGAAGTGCGGGCGCACAGCCGACAGATACGGTGCCCTCTTACGGGCGCACTTTCGACAGCCCTCTTCACTGAACACAAACGAGCCACAATAGTCGTCAAGCGGGAAGTGCACAGAGTAGCACTTTTCTGGTAGGCCCTTGTCCTGTCTGTGGTGTCTGCGCTTGTACATCATGGCGGACACGGGCTCTGTGCCTAGGTTGTCTCACGCGATCGCGCTTTGTCTTGTTTGCGACCGATGGCGAGAATCGGCAAGCTGCTGTTCCTTTTTACCTGTCGAGTGCGCCACAGGCGATATCTGTATCGCTCAGCGCGTCGAGGGCGAGAGCGAGGCGGCTGCCGCGGAGCTGTGGCTGCTCCGTCGCCGCGCGCCGCGCCGCCATTTGTACATTTGCGAGCCCGGCCCCCTGCCGCGTGCCGCCCTCTTTTATCACTCCTCAGCCCTCTCCCTCTTTCTGCTTGGTCGCGCGAGGCAACACCTCGGCGCGTGCCCTTCGACGGGGGCCCCGCCACAAGCAGCCTGGTTCCGAGCCGCTTCAAGAGTGCCCGAATTCACTGTGAAGACGCTATCGCGGTTACGTCATACGTGCCCTTCTTTCGCCTTTTACTAAAGAAGGCCGTGGCGCAACTGCCTAACGACCTCTTACACTATTTTGCTACCTAAATTTCTCACTCCTCACCCCTGTCCTTTTTCTTTTTTCTCGTTCGTCTCTCTCTGTCGTCTCTCTCTCTCTCTCTCTCTCCCTCCCTCTCTCGTCTCTCTCCCTCTCTCCCTCTCTCTCTCGCCTCTCTCTCTCGTCTCTCTCTCTCTCTCTCGCCTCTCTCTCTCTCTCTCTCGTCTCTCTCTCTCTCTCGTCTCTCTCTCTCTCTCTCGTCTCTCTCTCTCTCTCTCTCTCTGTGTGTGTGTGTGTGTGTGTGTGTGTGTGTGTGTGTGTCTGTCTGTCTCTCTCTTCTCGTCTTTTTTCCTCGTCGTCGTCTCTCGTCTCCCTCTCGTCTCCCTCTCTCTCGTCTCGCTCTCTCCTCTTCTCTTCTCTTCTCGCTCTCTCTCGTCTCTCGCTCCCTCTCGTCTCTCTCGACTTCTCACGGTCGGTGGTCGAGGACTTGGGCTCAAGCAGGCCTTTCGCACCCCGTCTGTTTTTCCTTTCCTTTTTTCTCTACAGCACCCTCTCTTTTCCTCTCTATTTTCCCGGGAAAACTGCGTGGAAATCGACAATTTTTTTGGCTTTGATTGAGCCGAGAGTCTGAGGCTGGTTTGGGCCCAAAATCAGCCCAATTTTAGGCCAAATCGGCAAAATGCCCGGAATTTCGCGGAGAACCCGTGTATACCTGGAAATTACCCTGCGACCGCCTGGGGCTGGGTATTTTGTCGATTTCCTCAATTTTGCCTCAGATTTTGCAGACCAGCTCTCAGTACTCAGGCTCAGGGAAACTCGCGAGTTCCAGAATGGAGCACCAAACACCCTCTGTTTTCCCTGGAAATTTCCGGAAACGCAAAGACCAAAGTGCTGGGGACGTTTTCCTTTTTGTTTTCCGGAAAACCTGCTTGAGCCCAACCGAGGACTCGCGCGCTCTCTCCCCTTCTTCAACCACCCTCCCCCCCCCCGGGCCCTTAAAAAAGGGCACGAGCGAGAGTCCGCTGCCTCAGGGACGGAGGATATCGTCCGTCCTTGAGCAAAAAAAGAGAAAAAGATCGCATCGGCTGTTCCCTTTTCGGTTTCTAAAATCCCATGCTCGGTACCCGGGTGCAGGTCCACTTCTCTCGGCTCGAGCGCGAGCGCGGCCGCTTCAAGTGAGAGTCGTGCTGCGAGGCGTGGATTTCGGCTCGGCGCGACCTAACATCGCCTTGAGGTGCCCGCATGAGGATATGATCAGCGCTCCACCTCCTTTACGGAGGCCGCAGCGGCGATGTGCACCGCTTGGTCTAGAAGGCATCACTCTCCTACACCCACGCCTCGTCGGAGCCGGCCTCCGCAAAGATTGATTCGCTCGCTCAAATTGGCCACTCGGGCAAAATCGGCCGAGCCACAAGCGGAGTGCGAGTGGTGGCTGGCCGATTTAAGTGAGACGTGGGCCGTACTGCTGTGTATACGTACCGGCCCTGTATATGCACCCGGGTGTCCTGCCTATGCATTGGCATCATCGGCGTACGAGACGAGCGGCGTAGAGAGGGGCAGCAACGAGGAGACGCCCCAAAGCCACGCAAGCCGAGGGCAGACAAGGGGGTGCCGAGAGGCCCGCGAGCCCTCAAAGGCACAAAGGCATACCAGATCGGGCACCTCAGCCTACTGCGGTTTCGGCACGGGCGCGAGAGGCAAGGCGGGACGACGAACCCGATGGAGAGCGAGCCGCCGGAGAGCGAGACGTGCGACGACGAGGGGGGCGACGAGAGAGACGAGAGCGCCTCGGCGGACGACGAGATGGTATTCATCGACGATGCGTTCTTCGAGCTCCCCGACGCGGCAACGGAGGAAGAGGCGGAGGGCGGGGGGAGCCAGAGTCAGTACAGCCAGCAGAGTCCAGGGGGGCGAGAGCGAGGGGAGCCAGAGCAGCCAGGGCAGCCAACGGGCGCCCAGGAAGAGCCAACGGAACCGAATAGCCGCACGACGCTTCCTGGACCGACTCCGTTTCGAACTCCTACAAGGAGGCAGCGGCGGGGACGGATACAGACACCCCGAAGATGGAGGGAGGAGCAGGGACGAAGAGATGCCCAACCGCACAACAGAGCCAGGGCCGAGCGAGCAACCACCCGAAACGGGCCATCCAAACGAAGGCAGCCAGACAGACGACGAAATCGCAGTGATGACAACGGCGGCAGCGTCGACCGGAGCACCTACTGCGGTGTGAAATGTGAGCTGGGAGGCGGGAGGCAGATGCAATAGGAGCGGGAGAGTGAGATCGTCAGCCAGCACGGCAGACCTTTACGGCGCGGCTGCGGGCGCGTTTGCAGTGACATGCGATCCATGTGGTAGCAAAGTCACGGCGGGAGTAGCGTATACAGGCTGTGAGCGAGGGTGGCGCGTCGCGAGTGGCGGTGCAGCTAGTCGGTGGCGCGGGTGCTGGCGACCGGCGGAGAGATGCAGCCGGCGCGAGAGATGAACCCTGCGGAGAGGCGAGGTGACGGGCGAACCGCGACGGTGGGAGAGGGCTGAGCATCGGCTTCACCGGAGGCACAGGAGCCTCGCACGCCCGACCGTGACGAGAGCGAACCGACGCTGGCAGGTCAAGCAGCGTCGGTTCGCTAGCGGGACCGAATGGGTACCCTCCCCGGCATTTTTTTTTGCAATTTTTCGGTCCTTTAGCTGGTGGAACAAAAGAATTTTACAGAAAATCCATTTTCCATCGCGGTCGGGTAAAGCTGTGTATAAGACGCTCCAGCTCGGGCTCCGCTGACACCATCACCCATCCACCGCTCGCGGAATGGTATTGCTAAAAATCTCTCTCTCAGAACACAGCGCACCTTGGTCTTGCACGCGTCGCAAGTGACCCACTTCTCGTTCTTGAACGTGAACGTCGGCTCTCCGCCGCCGCCGCCGCTCGCGGCCGACGCCGCGGCCAGCTTCTCCTTGGCCTTGCTGGCCCCCTCGGCCGTCTTGGCGGCCTTGGCAAGCACCGCGCGCGCGTTCTCGGCCGCGCGCTGGGCCGTCTCCGCTGATTTGGCGAGCTCGCTCGCGGGTTGAGGAGCCATAGTTGTGCCGCCTCAGCGACTTTGGCAAAGTAGGAATGACGCTTTGCCGAAAGAAATCAAGAGGGCGCGGCCGCCCTCACGCCGCCCCCCACCGCCTCCATTGCCCTGCCGACTTTGGCAAAGTAGGAATGGCGAGCCGAAAGAAACTGAGCACTACGACGGCGCCCTTGTACCGCAGCGGAAGAAACACAAACAAATTACGAAAGACGGCGCCCTCAACAGCCGAGATGGTCGCACCTGTGGACGCGCCGCTGCTCGGCCAGCGCGTCGTGCTCGGCGGGCTCTCGGCACGCCCCGAGCTGAACGGGCGCCTGGGTGAGGCGCGGAGCTTCGAGGGCGGGCGGTACGCGGTGGCGCTCGAGGGCGGCAGCGAGAGCGTGCGAGTGCGGCCGGACAATCTGTCGAGGGCGGCCGTGCAGGCCCCGAGTGTCATGGCGACCGACGAGATCGTGGCAGCGGCTGAGCGAGGCGACGAGGCGGTGGTGCTGGCGTGGATCGAGGTCGGCGGGTGGGTCAACGCGACGTACGAGATCGGCAAGGCGAGTGGTATCACGCTGCTGATGAGCGCCGCCGGCCACGGCCACGAGCGGGTGGTCAAGTTGCTGCTGCGGCACGGCGCTCATGTCAACCTGCAGGACAGCGACGGCGTCACCGCGCTGATGAACGCCGCCTTCAACGGCCACGAGCGGGTGGTCGAGCTGCTGATGCGGCACGGCGCTCATGTCAACCTGCAGGACAGCGACGGCGTCACCGCGCATATGAACGCCGCCTTCAACGGCCACGAGCGGGTGGTCGAGCTGCTGATGCGGCACGGTGCTCATGTCAACGCGACGTACGAAAACGGCAAGGTGAGCGGCATCACGCTGCTGATGAGCGCCGCCGACAACGGCCACGAGCGGGTGGTCGACTTGCTGATACGGCGCGGCGCTGAGGTCAACCTACAGGACAGCCTCGGCCGCACCGCGCTGATGGCCGCCGTCCAGGAGGGCCACGAGCGGGTGGTCGAGCTGCTGCTGCGGCACGGCGCGGAGATCAACTTGCAGAGTAGCGTCGGTGGCACCGCGCTGATGGCCGCCGCCGGCCAAGGCCACGAGCGGGTGTTGGACTTGTTGATACGGCGCGGCGCTGAGGTCAACTTGCAGGGCAGCAACGGCATCACCGCGCTGATGTGTGCCGCCTGCTCCAACCGCCCCGCCGTCGTGCGGCGCTTGCTGCGGGCGGGCGCAGACACGGCGCGGCGCACGGTTATCGGCAAAACGGCGCTGCAGCTGGCCAAGGAGAAGGGCCACGCCGAGTGCGTCGATGCCTT